CCGTGCCCCCCCCCATGCGGTTCGTCCCGTGTCAATCAAAAAAATGGTAAAACAAACGAGTGGTCTGTTCCAGCACAAGGAGAGAACGGTATTTTAAAATCTGGACGTCAGGCATTTCAGGAATAACACGACCGACGGGTATTTTCCTAATGCCGCTGACTTCTTCTGGCGTCTGTAAAAACAATTCAAGTGCCTTCTTCCGAATTTTCCCCTCCAACCCCCGAAAACTTTCGGCTTTTTCGGACAGCCATGGACCCCAAATATTTGTCTTTTCGATAAAGGACAGGGCAATTTGACTCGGTTACCGCAAGATTAACGTGTTCAATAAACCTAATTCAGGATAATTACGCCGAAATCATGGAAGTTGAAGAATGAACGACTAGATTTTAATCCAGGAGATTATGAATTGAAAACCTAGAAGACAAATCGATGTGTTTAAAACTCCCAGCGAGACCATCAGGATGCGGCGGAGGGAAGAGTCCTCCCCCTGCTCCAGGTCATACTCTTCACGTGCTGCTGAAGCCACTGATAAGACACCTGATATCACACTTGGTGAACGACAGCGTCGAAAAATCGCCGAGTTTGGCTCGAGAAGAAAACTAAATGGTAAAAAGGAGAATGAGATTGTCGGGAAAAATTGTGAAGAAGTGTGTGAGACGGACGAGAGCACTGGCGACAGGGTGAAGAGGGAGAGGGAGGAGATGACAGAGTGTCTGAAGGAGAAAACTAAATTTTCGGAATTGGGGTACGCGAGGGTTCACTGCAAGGAGTGCATCAGGAACATCATGTCGAGGGATGCCAAGAGATTTCTGAGGGAATTGGATCCATACGGTGGGATCCTTCATCTGAAAGTTGGGAAGGTGTCCTCTAACCATGAGGAGAGGGCTCAGAAGAGGAAGAACAACTGGATTGAGTCGACATTGACTCAGTAAAACAATTAAATAGAGTTTTAACCCTGAACATTGTCAATTGCATGAAGAAAAGATGATAAAAAATCGTGTAAATAATCACTCTGTGATGATGAATAAATGATAAATGGCTTTACATCACTCCAATAATCCTTTCATCCTGTCACTCAGGAAGATTACATTCTGGAGATCATCACCCGCATGAACAAAAAAATGAGAATCATAATTTTACGACCGACGTAAACAGCATTGGAAAAAATGGAAAAATTGTCTCTTCAGAACAGCAATAGCCACTTGCTCAAGTCGATATTTCCTCGCTAAAAAAATCAACTAAAATTTCAACTCCCTCAAAAACACGACCTAATTTACACTAATCACCCCTAAATCATGATCGCTGCTCTCTCCACGTTCCATAATCAACTTCCGTTTAATCACAATTATTCATTCCATCGATACCCAGCATCACTCCCGATAAAAATGATAGCGAGCAGGAGTGCCGGAGGGCGGGTTGCAGTAGTCCTGCACCGAAGGGATGCAAAAATCCTCATTTATCGTAACAATACAGTCCGGCCAATGGGCAATCACCAGCATCCCGGTGAATCCCGCCCATCAACCAATGGGCCACAACATAAAACCCTCTTGAATAAGTGGTTACGCCCCGACCAATAGCTGCGCACAGGCATGAATCGGGGAACCCCCGGATTCTGTAATAGTGAAGAGAGACCAGTCGTCTCGGATGCGTGTGCTGGCGAACATCGTGAGAGAGTGATAGACGGATTATCATCGGATATTTCCTGAAATAAGATACGCGAATCGCGATCGATATGATTTCTAGTGATCAGTGAAACTGGGAATGTTGATGTGAATAACCAGTGAATTCCGAGTGTGAAGGGAACTCACGTCCGTTGAGCCACGACACCTAATAATAGCCGAGTGAGAATAAAAAAAGCCGAAGAGGAATTGATATAAATACCGAATTCCACTCGAGAAATTCTGGTGTAAAAAAAATGTATATTAATCCCCCGGTGACTCAAGGAAGAAACTAGTGGGGGCAATAAGTCTTTTATAATCGGATGAGAGAGCGGGTAATGGAAGACAATTAAGAAGTGAAAGATAACTTGAGTCCGGTGTATTAACCAAGAGGGCTTAGTGAATAATTGGAGAAGTGAGGATAACGTAATTCAATATATATCCCTGGTTAGTGTTCCTAGGGTTAAAAAAGCGAGCTTTAAAAACCCGAGTGGTGTAAAAGTCTAAAAATAATAATCAGCAAACGAGGCTGCGGCACTTGCCGCATCAGCATTTACCAATAATTCAACTGTCGATGTTTTTTATCACCATCTTAATGTAGTTGAACATCCATACGTGAAAATTATTGACTTGTGACGCTGATCCAAGTGATAGTGAATGTGACGATTTGAATTTTCAATGATGACGATGACTTGCTGAGTTTGCAGTTGTCTGCTAGCAGTTGATTGATACCACTAGCCGGCCGAAAGGACAACAAAATCATTCGGAAGTGTCTCAAATACGTGATAACAAAGGGTGTAAGTGATAAACGTGTTGTTAACAGTGGAGGGTGGAGGTAACGGTGTCCCAGGGGGCGTAGTGGGCCCCGATGAGGTGATGATGGGCTATAGTGCCACAGGGGCCAGTGGCGCTATGGGTCCGTCAGCGGGTGCTGATGTACTTGGCTCAACCGGTGATTACAGCCCCCAAGGTACACCAAATTCCCTAGGTGGTCACAATACAGGCCCAGTTGATGCAGCAGCATACACAACAAGTGCTACTGGACCAACAACCTACAGCCCCCAAGACAGCCCAGCCAGTTCAGTTGGTGGTGGCAATAGCAATGGACAATTACCGAGCTTTGGTTTCACTCAAGAGCAAGTTGCATGCGTCTGCGAGGTGAGTAATTACCGATTAAAAATTCCCATTGCTTAAATCGATGTTCAGTGTGTGATCGGTGTGACGTCATTGTCCCCCGTAATTATGTGATTTGATATTGGTGGGCCGGTTGAAATATTCGCGATGATTAATCAGTTGCGCAAGACCCAGGGGATGCCCCGTAAATTCTAAATTATAATGACGCGTCTGATGGAAACGTGGGGGGTGGATCAGACGTCGTCAGCTCCTTGCTTGCATCACATTGGACTTGTCAAAATCACAGTCACAAGCTTCGTGTGCGAGACATTTCACGAGACAATACTTTAAAAGGATTGTCTCGGTCTCAGAGAACGACGAGACAAATCGAGATTATACATTTACAAATTATCTCAGAACCATGACGAGACGAGAGCCCAGATTTCCATGTTCACTGAGACCGAGATCATCTCTCCAAAGTATTGTCCCGTAAAGTGTCTCGCGGCATCACAAGCTTCATGAAATCATCGATTGAGTTGATGTTGGATCCATGTGATGTGAGCGCTAGTTGTCTTGTATGACACATGTACTCAGAGATCTAGTTAATCTGCAATACAGTCGTTAAAATATGATCTAGAACTCTTTAAAGACCCTCGACACTGTCGTTACGACAGTCATGAATGAGCAATCCTTCATTTTGTGAGTGCATCTTCGTCATTAACATGAAGCTGAAGTTGTGAGCAAACTCTCCTCAAGGTTTGCTCATGGCTCGAAGATAATCGTACAGCCCCTAAACTTCAAGTTCTAAACTCACGATTATGATAGCAGGGGTGTCTTCTAAGAGCTCGAGATTATAGATACAAGATAAACTAGATTAATAAGGAGAACCCGGGATGAGTTCTGCCGACTAACAGTGTGCCCCCCCTGTCTATCGTCTTCAAGGCGATGGTGTCGTCTGTCCAGGTACTCCAGCAGGCTGGTTCTGTTGAGCGTCTCGGCAGATTTCTCTGGTCACTGCCGCAGTGCGCCAGACTCCAGCGTCACGAGAGTGTTCTCAAGGCCAAAGCAATAGTGGCATTTCACCGTTGCAATTTTAAACAGCTTTACCAGATTCTAGAGAGCAATACATTCAGTCCACACAATCATCCCAAGCTCCAGGCACTGTGGCTCAAGGCGCATTACATCGAGGCGGAGAGACTCCGGGGTAGAGCACTTGGTGCCGTCGGTCAGTAATCACTTCACATGATGATTCAGCTCGTTAAGACTACGGTCATGACGAATTTTCGTTGAATTTTCAGGAAAGTACCGGGTGAGACGCAAATTTCCACTGCCCCGAACAATTTGGGACGGCGAGGAAACCTCTTACTGCTTCAAGGAGAAGTCCCGAAGTGTCTTGAGGGAGTGGTACACGACGAATCCATATCCGTCGCCCCGGGAGAAGCGAGAACTCGCAGAAAGCACGGGCCTCACGACAACACAAGTCAGCAATTGGTTCAAGAACAGAAGACAACGGGACAGGGCTGCTGAGCAGAGGTGAGTCCTTAGAGATGCGGAATGACTGTCATTTTCTCCTTCGGTCAGGTCAGACGGAAATGAACGGTTTCTGACCCTGACCAAATTTTTATATGCGAAATGACAGTCACAGTTAAGCTGCGTCTGACCGAAAATTGTCTATATAGTTGCTAATTGACCGTCACTTGTATTTTGGTAATTTTTTGCGTCATTTTTTAAGGGTTCGATCGAAATACTTTTTAATAGAATTGAATTATTATTTCAGTTATTAATTATTATCAATGGCCCCACTCTGACTGATACATTGTCAAAAACATAAAATCAAATTTCACGGGCAGTTGACTGGAAATTTTTAAGACAGTACCACTGAATGCAATTTAAGGGGAGAAAAAATCCTAAGATTTCAGATTTCACTGAAAATTTAATAAAATACCAAAATTTTGAGAAACAAAGTCGAGATTGCTTCAATTTATTTTAATTTTCAAACCATTGAACATTCACGAATATATTTATCAGAATTTTCCAGTTTTAATTATTTTTTCCCCGAAATTGGCACCAAAATGTGATCAAAATTTCGGAAAACTGGATTGGAAATTTCAGTTAAAAAATTTTAAAAGTGAAGAAATCGCTGCACTAATCGAGGGTCATCTAAATAGATGGAAATTGACCGTCTAACTTTATTCGGTCCTTTCACGCTTAAGGACAATCGTCATGTCAAGTCAATTCTAACTTTCGGCCAGTTTTTGATGAATATCTCGAAATCTAAGAGAGATAGCAAAATTTTCATCATGACCTTTTTTACAATCCTCAATTGGCTCTACAAAAAAGGTCATATGAAAAAATTATCTATCTCCCTTAGATTCCGAGATATTCGTAAAAAACTGGCCAATACTCAAAATCGACTTAACCCGGTTTACCGCTTCGCTGATTTCTTTTTCTGACGACATGGTCAGATCCTCAGCGCGGTAATTGCCGGTCATGGTGGTAATTGACGGTCATCCTCGTCACTCACACCTCTGAGTCCTTATTTCCGATCCTCTCACCTTCGGCCAATATCAACGACTCGAGCTTGCTGATGCACTCTCATACATCATGTCGAGTAGCTCATATCAAGCCCGATGAGCCGGGTGATTAGAACGAGAGCATGACTACCGTTGATTCGTATGTTGTCCCGAAGGTCGTTGCCCCACATCCGATTTTAGAATATCTCCGAAAGCATGCGCGCGCTCGTACCACCAGACGTGTACAACGTAACGTCTCCCACGAAGCGCATCGTTCTCATGTTGAACAGCAGACGACAGTTCGAAAAAAAAAGGCATAATGAAAAGATGATGTTATTGGAGTCCACGGTTGATTCAAGAATGCTTAACATATGTGTGAACTTGTTGTCATTGATACTACTCGCGTGAAGTTGCATTTCCGGGATGATCATTCATAGCTGGCGGACGTTAACAACCGAGTGAAGATGAATATACCCTGACCGTTGGGGCGAGTTTGCAAAAAGATATCGTCAACCATTGAGATAGGAAGTGGGAAGCACCACTGTAGCTTGAAACGCCACAGGGAATCGTATCGAATTTCTCAAACCCATGGCTTCTGTGTATTCCCATGAATAAGTTGAATCTGTATGGCTTTTGCTATAACCGAATATATTAATGCTTGCTGATTCCGATGGAGGTTACAGCCAGATGCCTGAGTTAATCAGTCTGCTCTTTATCGGTTGATAACTGGCTGTTGAAATCAACTGAGCAGATGAATTTATCCGGATTCGATAGGCTTCATTTGAATAATCGTAACTCTGATAACGACATCTAATAGAACAAGGGTATTTTAATTTTCTTTTTATGAAATCGAAGGCGCGCCCTTAGATAGATTTTTTACGATTCATCACGTTAATATTTAAGTAAATTGGAATCAACCCATTTATAAAGCCGTCAAGAGAAGAAAACCGTGAGATTTCAGGCGATTTTTTATACGAAATTGTGAAATACTCTAGTCTTGACATGAATTTTGGGAGATCCTTGCTTTAACCCTAATCAGGTCAAGGCGATCCTGCGATTGGTCACTTCCGCGTGAATTCGCGACCGTATTATTTAGGTTTCAGCGTTGCCGAATTCACTCTACACTGCCCGGGCGCGTTTAGCGAGTTTCCGGCAACGTCGCGTCATGGGCAATTTCATTTAACATGGGAAAAATAATTCACCTGTTCGAAATGATTTGTTTTCTTTAGGAATTTCAAAAAATATGTTGTTCTAAGAACTACTGTAATTTTTTAGACACCTCAATTGACAAAGTCAATTTTATTTGTTTTTCCGATTAACCAGTCAATTCTAAAAAGAACATACACTTAAAGTCGACAACTATCGATATCTCGCAAGTCTGTCACGCTTATTCCTCATTGGTTCCAGTCGTCTGAGGCGGCAAATTTAATTAATGATTAATTTAATTTTGAGATTTTCAATTATGATTGTTACAATGACAGTTGTTACAATTACTCGTTAAATAAAAATTGAAATACTGTTGCTTTATTAGGAAACGTCGAGTAAGAAATCGTCTTTCAGGCTTGGAAAGAAGTCAATGAAGCGAACGGATTCGCTCATGATTTGAGAATCTTCCGCTGGTGAATCTTTCGCGAGTTTTAGCTTCATAAAAAGTCATTAGCTGGCGCATCGTGTAATACACGAGATAAACGATGGTCGTATGCCGCCAGGGGGGCGGCTGTGTTCAACTCCCATGGGGAGAATCCCGGGGGCGTATGTTACAATCGTAGGCGTTTTGTCGTGCAATATAAAACACATCGTTCCAACACCTCTTTCATATAGACAAAACAATGTAATAAAAACACTGGTGCCGCGAAAAAGGAACTAGCGAGAATAAATTCCAGTCAGCAGTTACTGACTGATGTCATGTGGTCAGGATATCAGACTTCTGAGAATGAGATGCAGCTCGTGTGGTCTTTTGTTTTGGTTTCGATTCTCTTATCGATGGCTTCCACTTTGTTGATAGGCGAACATTGTTGGGGGAGGTTTATCGGTGATGATGCGATGTTGAGTCATACGATGAAATCGAGATTGGAATGGAAGACTGAAGAGTTATCATTACATTAACGTCGTTTCATCATTTAATATCGACCTGGACCATTTCCATTTTAGAACATCAATTTCCGTTCCCCGGTGACATTAATGTGTATTTCGCGTTGTGAAAAATCGGCTGGCGCCCTAAACAACTGAAGCAAGGATTGTAATTTTTAAAAATCGATAATTTTAGTTTAGGGTTTTCTTGAGTATTTGTTGAGGAAAAAGAAAAATCATTACAAATGACGAAAGAAGAATTGTCACACTACGGACTCAGAGGAACTCTAGGGAAGTCCTTCCTAGGTTCTATGTTCAATGACTGATATTCAATATAGAAGGAACAATACGCCATGTTTCAGATAATCCATAAGTTTGAGTTAGGATTTTCTCGAGTATTTTCTGAGGCAGAAGAATCATTACAAATTTCAAAAGAAGAATCACCACATTACAGACTCAGGAGTCATTACACATTTGTGAATTGAGTGCTAGGGTTATTGAAGATAACCTCAAGCACATTCTCTCCCCATTCTTTCGACGACACGAGTCACCAGGAGCACTTCATCGTTAGTACCGAGAAGCGAAGGGAAAAATGTCGAGAGGGAGAGAATGGCGAGGGTGAATTGTGGCAGTAATGGCTCCACTCTTCGTGTGTCAACAAAACATTTACTTGGATATGGCGTACCACCCCTCGAAAAAAAAAAAATTGTACCACCATATTGCCAGTGTGGGCGTGCACAAACATTGAATGCGTGAGGGATCCCCTTTGTTTTCCCTTTGTTCATTCCCTTTGTACGGCCAGGGACATCAGGAGCATTTTGATGCCCTCTTTATTTCCCAGATGGAATTCAAAATGGCGGGTGTCCTATCATCCTTTTCATTCTCCATTGAACGATGAGGAGCACTGGAATTAAAATTGTTGGCTTGTCGTTTCTATTTTTTTTTTTTTTTTTCGTTCGGTCCTCGGTGGATGAAAGGGAAATTTTTCGGGGAATAATCGAGAGAAGGAAGAGCACTTACGCACTCCCACGACCTTCCACAGAGTGTCAATATTGGCGCAGCCATACCCTCGTCGAACCATCCGGCTTCCCTCTCACCCTCGTGTACAACCCCCTCAAGCCCAGTAGTCGCCATTTGCTTTTCTCGGTTTAACGGTTATTTCTGGAGTTCATATTTTTTTTTTCTTTTTACGTGAAAGTTTGGGGTAATCTCTTGGCAATCCGAGACGGCTGCCATTTTTGGTGCAAGAAACGGTGGATTTCTAGGAATATGCCAGAATTATCTCGAATATGTGTATCTTTCTGCTAACAGATCCAGTTTGATTGTCGTCGTACTGCTTTATTTCGTTGTCCTTCGGTTTTATTTTCAATGCCGCCGACGATGAAAAATTTAGAAATAGAATTTTACGGAAATAAATGAAATAAATGTAACGTTTTTGCCTCACAAATTTATCTCGTGACCCTTTTTTCAGTAAATTTAAAAAACCAATTTTTTTCTCCTGGAATTTTGATTTTTTTTCTCTTGAATCAATGAAGTTTTTTTCCTGCGAAGAGATCTTCTGGAGTTTTTTCTTTATATTTGTGGAATTCAGTCATTACGGGATCTTCTTCAACGGCTCACAGACAACTCTGAACACTCGCTTGATATTGAGTGACGTGAGGGCGCAATTCTTGGCTTGAAAAAGCCCAGTGCACTTGATTTTTTTCCCCCTCCGAGGATTCAGCTTTGGATACTGTTTTTCGTTCAGTTGGTCTTTGCACATGGGCACAGTGGGCATTCATTCAAGGAACTCCGGGCTTACGTTGATTGAATTAAACGGGTTATCTCAACGATTCAATCTCCAAATTTCGGGAGAATGATGTTTACTAATTGAAACGAATTTCCAGATTGCAGAGAGAGATTCTGGCATTAATTCAAGGATATCTCTTTTGGAATTCAGCAATGAAAAGT